TCAGTTTTCTCCTGTAACCTCTCAGTCTGTGAACGCAGGGTTCAGCTAGGCATCAACAAGCTTACTAAGTGGGCTGACAGTAATGGGTTCAAGTTCTCTCCTCAGAAGACTGCATGTGTTTGCTTCAGCCGCAAACGTGGAATCCTTCTTGAACCATCCCTAACAATCTATAATAGTAATGTTAGTGTCCAACCTCAGCACAAATTTTTGGGTCTTACGTTTGATAGTAAACTGAATTTTATTGCTGATGTAAAAAGCCTGAAATTGGGAGCTCACAAATCTCTCAATATCCTTAAACTTCTCTCGCACTGGTCTTGGGGCTCAGATCGATTGTGCCTCCTGCGGATCTATCGCTGTTTGGTACGCTCCCGACTAGACTATGGCTGCTTTGTTTATTGGTCTGCCAGACAGTCTGTTCTCAAGATGTTGGATCCCATTCATCATCTTGGGCTTCGGTTGGCTACAGGTGCATTTCGTACATACCCTGTGCCCAGTCTATATGCAGAGGCTAACGAGTGCTGCATCGAGAGAGGTAGATTCGCATTGGGCATGATGTACTCTCTTCGCATCCGATCTGTACTCCAGCAGCCTACTCGAGAAGTTGTACAAGAAACACGCTCGGAACGACTGTTTCTTGCAAAACCTAGCGTGATCCCTCCGTTCAGTATGCGACTGAAAACCTTGATTGAGTCTGTCGGATTTGATGTGGCATCCCAGGTAGTAGAATTTCCTGGCATCATAGCACTTTGGGAGCACCCTGACATACACTGCAACTGGTCTCTTGCACAGTATAACAAGAAAAACACTCCATGTGCTGTGCTTCTGCAAGAATTTTACGAACTGGCTCAATTGTATGAAGATCATACAAAGTTCTATACAGATGGAACAAAATCTGAGACCTTTGTTGGCTGCTCTGTCATTGGCTTTTCAGCGGAAGTTGTAAGGCGGATAAACACTGCCGCTACCATTTTGACAGCGGAGCTGTATGGCCTCCTGCTGGCTACGGAACACATAGCCCGCCTTAGGATACCGCTGGCAGTAGTTTTCACGGACTCTCTCAGTGCCTTGCAAGCCATCTCTTCTCTGCTGCCTACAAGAAACACCCTTGTTGTTGAAGTTCAGAAGAAAGTTATTGTGGCAGCTAGAAAGCATTGCATCATTGTCTTTTGCTGGATTCCCAGCCATGTTGGTATCCCAGGCAATGAGGCGGCCGACCGTGCTGCTCGCACATGCGTCAGCAGGGAGGTAGACATAAAAGGAATCCCTTACGTGGACTACCGCTCTTCTGTAAGGTCTCGCATACAAGCCCAATGGCAAGCCGAGTGGAATGAAGAGATCTACAATAAGCTGCATCTCATTAAGCCAAACCTGGGTGAATGTGCAAGTGCCCGACACCGAGAACGGTTTTATGAAGTAATACTGTGTCGTTTGCGCATTGGCCACACGCATCTGACTCATGGCTACTTGCACCGTGGGGAGGATGCCTTTTTGTGTGAACAATGCGATAAACCTCTAAGTGTTCTCCATTTTTTAATTGAGTGCCCTTTCTACGAACGGGAACGCCAATCTCACTTTGCACAGTTGTACAGAAATCACACTCCCTTACACCCAATGTTGTTGTTGGGTGATGAACCATTCGTGGCTTACAAGCAGGTTTTTAAGTTTTTAGATTCTATTCGTCTTCTACATCAATTGTGAATTTCAGTTTCTCACTCATGCCCATTGTTGTTTGTGATTTAATCCAGTTTTATGTCTCATTCCTTTTATTTTTAACCCTGACCACTAGAGTACTTTATTCTCACTTACCCTCAATGCAATAGTTTCCTTCTTTGGCGCTCTTTGGCCTCAGCAGCCCTTGCGCCATAAACCCCCAATCCCAATCCCGATCGTGCAATCGCTGTTTATGCCGTGTCGGACACATCAACGTTTGCGTCACTTACGGCGTCTTCAGCAACAGCAGTAGAGAACGTTTTCTTCGTCGTCAGTGGCATCCTGCGGCACGCGGTTCCCTTCTCAGATGCCTTTGGCCAACGAATAAAGCAAAAATACTAGGCAAAGCTTGTTAGATCATGAAGCGGCGGCAACCAGCACCATTCGGGAGGTAGCCAGCCTGCCTGAACTGCTTTGAGACTCGCCTTATATATCTTGTTTTCGTAAGTGTTCCCCCTCTGTCGTTTTATTTCATAACGATTACCCAATTGCTCCCAAAAACGGGATCGCTGGGCAAGGAATAAAAGGAACATCTGGAAGAGAGTACCCTAAGTTCAGATTCTCTCACGCGCCAAGCCCGAATAAAGTTGTAGCTCGGTTACTGTTATTGCCCTAGCTCTCATAATGATTCTTCGTGCACGCGCGCACATAACTTCATTCATCTCGGGAATCGGGAGTGTGCACTCAACGGACTGTGCTTTATATTTACTAAAAATGGATTTTTCAATGACAGCTGTATTATTGCAGGCGAACATAAATCTAAAATTTCCGATGTTTTCCTTGTTATCCGTCGCGTTTTTACGCTTCACGTGTTGCACAGCAATAAGGATTCATCTCGAAAGGTAAAATGAGGGCACTGCAGCTTACTGGCCCGCGCCACCGTATGCCTCCTAATGGCGGCCACGGACCCGCCGGTACCGGCGCACGTAACCGGGCCAAGCGGTAGTCCGTAATTTTGATTTGGTGCCGCCAGATGGGGCGGCATCGGTAAAAGAAGTCTATGCGGAGAGCAAGGCATCTGCTTCTTGCGCAAGGGTTGCAGTGACGTCTGAACGACGCCAAGTTATGATTGGCTTCGAATGGAAGTATAGTAGCTAGACCTCAATGGCTAGGTGCCTTGAAGTCAACCCACTATTTTTTTTTTTAATGAGCCAATAAGAGCTTAGCGTTCTGACATCGTCGAAAGCCACGTGCAAGAAGCAGACAAACTTGCGCTCCGCATTAACTACAGTCCAAAATTGTTTTTTTTTCGAAAATTTATTTTGGAGACAATTCTGTGAACTTTTGGAGCATAGGTATTGTTTACAAAATTCAGAGGAAAGGGGGGGGGGGGTGGAAGGTGTTTCACGAAACACGGCCCAAATCGCTCGTGCGAAGAGTCGGTATCGCATAGAAAAATGTTTGGGGCAATATTGGTCTCTACCAAAGCCCCTAGCTGGGAATATTAATCAAATCGTTATAATAAGGTTCTCAATCATTTTACGTAATTACAATATACATTGGTAAGTGAAAAATCATGGCTTCAGTTAGAAACTATCTGGGCATAATTTAAAACGGTGAAATACGCGCAAGTTGCAAAAATGTAAGGCACGCGTAATACTTCACAATGTTCAACCCCCCCCCCCCCCCCCTTCTCCATAAGCACTCACTATAGACTCGTTCTTTTAAGTTTTGCGTTTCCCATCAAACTGCATCTCCGCAGCTGCGGCCCTGCTCTCTCCGGCCGATATCGCGTACCCATCGTATCGCCGCTTCCTGGAAGGAAGGTGTAACTCGAACCGACGAAATAAAACACTGTGCGGCTTGAATAACCTTGAGAGAATAATATTTGATTTTTGAATTCACCTCCCTCTTGAGAATAATGCTTGGCTGCGCACAATGGTTGCGCGCTTGGGCACATGAGAAGCAGGACTGCAGGCACGAAAATACGTTTTGATGGGAAACCGAAACTTCAAGACTCGGTCAAATGAAGTGTTTGTTCAAAACGCCATAAAATGATGCACGTGCTTGACACCTTGTAATGTGCTGACTTAGAAGTTTTCTTTTATGTCTGCAATGTTTTTCTGAAAAAAAAACATACCTTTGCATCTAGATATGGAAAGCATAAATATTCAGAAGTAAAAAGAAGAAAACTGATTAGCACAAAAGGTAATTTTATTTACATGCCCACTGGCAGTAACCAAATTATAGTAACTAATTTTCTGTGCAACGCGTACCTTTCGCAGGTGGGATTTGGCCCGCGCTTCGTGAAAAATCCTGTATACAAGATACGCTTTTATAACCCTATACTCAACCTTGATGTGAGCTTTTTCGAGTCTCAAAACGAGCTGAGTTTCATCAGTTCCCCAATGCAGACTACGTCAGACTACGTTTCCTCTATGTAGGCGGTATTATCATGATTCAGTTGGGACTAACCTTGTGCCCTTATTTGGTCCTCGGTCGATGCAGAACGAGCGCACCTTGCTTCTCCGTCCCTATCAAAACGCCGTTCTCTATTCGGGCGTCCGATTGGCACAACGAACATGCTGGGTCTTAGTGGGCTGCCTGCCGCTTCTGTTCAGCAACCCCACCTCCAATCTGTTCTTTTTTTATTTTTTTTGTTCGAGGCAGTGCGAAGCAGACCGGAGTTCTTCCAACTTAATTCGCTGGATCTTGAGAAAGTAGTACCATTGCCTTCCCTGCATGCAAGCCGGACACAAAGAGTTACTAACATATAGGCGACCTGGAACTGTCAATGTGATTGACTGATCGGTCTTTGTTGCCATGGCGGTCCAACATTTTAGAAATAATCCTCCGCCCAGCCGCTGTTTATGCTCAATCAAAACGTTTTTCAAGATCTTTGAGGACAACCAAAAAAATATGTCTTTTATTCACGTCTTAAAATTGACAGCTTTAGGAGGTTGTTGTATGCATGAAGCACTATCACTTAAAGAGTATATATAGTAAATATTCTTTAACTAGCCGTATTTTATTAACAAAGAAAACCTTCGGGGCAGTTCAGGGTTGTAAATTTCTCTGGATTTTATTTAATAAACTATTCAGTGCTATCAGAGTTCGTTACAAGGTTCTCACGAAGTAATTATACGAAAGATATAAGCTGGAGCCAGATTTGTGGCCACATTTATGTGTATTAAAATAATTGCATGTATTTATGCATACCGAGAATGGCAATCGCAGAGAGACTGCTGCTGTAGTTAAGTTTTTATATGTTCAAGCTGAGCGTATCCAAAAAAAAAGGAATGGTGGGAAAAATATAATTTTAAATTTCCTGGTTTCTTTTTTTTTTTCAGATCAACGAGATATTTCAAACTCAGAAACACATACTGGTTGTAACTTTCAAACTTGTTCATGCCTCTCTGTGGGAAGTAAGTGTGTTATGCTTCAGTATATCGTTCTTGTTTCTAGTATTGATTTTCTGCAGCCAAAGATGCACCCCATGTATGCTGAGCAGCTGAAATCAAAACTGAAAAAATATGCCACGAGATTAGAAACGTCGTGGAGTAAACAACACCCCAGTGTACCCATTAGTGCTTTTCTTTTTCTGACCACGTGAGTTCCTCAACATTTGTTTTCTACTTTATTTGCAACGCAAACCAATGAACTGATACTAAACAGCTTTCCAACGAGAAAAACAAGAACTTACATTTTTTTTTTATATTCCATAAAACATATATAGAAAAAAATATAATCTTGCCCTGAAGATAAGGCTAGAAGTACCAGATAAGTTGATAATGTTTTAGCTGATAGGAAAACCTACATAAAACAAGAAGTGATTAAAATGAATTAAATACGTTTCTGTGAGTGCGTCAACTTTGCAGTGTATCATAGGTGCTCATTAAAATAAATTTCAGAATGTAATGAAGAAAAGCTCCCTGCAGTATTTTTATGAGAACATGCAAAATAGCATACTTTGATTTTATACGTTTTTGAGCGGACTGAAGTTTTGGTTGTTAGTTGGGGAGAAAAAACGATACATTATATCTAGTTATTGTTCGTGGGACAATATCTTATAATCACGATCCCGTACTATATAAAAGAAAATGAAAGAAGTTTACAAATCTCTGTAATTATAAATTAGAGCGCAGCTCTTGAGGACGAGGAGGGGAGGGTACGGAGGCTAGGGTACGCCCTCCTCCTCTCCCTCTCCTTAATTCCTCCTCCTCTTCTCCTCCTCCTCCATTCGCTCCTCTCCCTCACTCCTCCCATTCAGTTTCTCCGCTAGATTAAGTGGGAAAATTGACGTTACATGACCTCATCACCTATTCAATTTACCATTTAGCGGCGAATCGAATTGGTATTGACATCATGTGACGTCAGTTTCCCAGCTAAATCTGGCGGAGAAACTGAATTCGTCAACTAAATCTAGATGAAAAACTGAACTTTCCGCTAAATATTGCGGATAATTGAACTCGTGTGGAGGTGACGTGACGTCAATTTTCCTGCTAAATATGGCGCGGTTACGCCGACGCCGACGACGCGAAATACGCCAACGGGAGTCTAATAGCTGCGCTGTAAAATAGGTTTTCTGAATGCAATATATCGTTTATGGCGCGTCATTTGCCTTTCGTTTGAACTGGTCGACTCCACTAATGATGAAACCAAGCTCAGTGGAACAAATGTACCTTCTGGCAAACAGGAGCTTTGGACACTGTTGCCGATTTTTTGAATCTGAAGACAATAATAACGTATATAATTAGAGACCAATATGTTTAACGACGATACTATGTAAAATTATAGAGCATAATTCACAGAGTGTTTTTTTTATTCTTACAGATTTGTTTGAAAAAAATCATGAAAGCTACACTTATGCGGTTTGTGTGAGTGAGTTATAGCCCTGGGGGCATTATGTGGGTTGCTAATTTTTGCGATAAGTCGGCTAATTATTTTGAATTCTTTAGTTAACTTTTTAAGTAGCGAAAACAAACATTTGGCTCTAATTAGAAACTTGGTGACCGTTATCGACATCCACTAAATCTGTCATTTTCAGAAAGACTTTCAGCGCGTGAGAAGCGTAACAGTGCACTAAAGTTAACACTCCTGGAGCAGGTACAAGGTTAGCGGTTGCGGTAAGGCGCCCGCGAGTGGTAACTTTATCGCACTACAGCGATTCTCACGCGCTTAAAGTCTTTCTAAAAATTACTGATTTAGGCGTTCTGGACGACGCTCAGCAAATTTCTAATTGAAACCATAAAACTATTCTAAATAATTAACAAGTTAATTATTAAATTTTAATTAATTATTTGATCTATTGCAAAGATTAGCCACCCACATAATGTCCCCCTGCCTGTATACTGACTCGCACAAACCGCATATAAGTGTAGCTTTCAGGACTTCTTTAAACACATCTTTAAAAAATAAAATATACCCTGTATATTCAATTGTTATTAGCTATTTATGTGACCATCACCCCTCTGTACTAATCAACATGGCTTTCGAGAACGTTTTCGTGCAAAACCCAACTCTTTTTTAATTTGCTACAAATTTGCACGACAATAGCCATGCTTCTAAAGCTACTGATGTAATTTTTATTTCTCTGTAAGCTAACTTTACTCTATAAGCTAACTCAGCTCAACATTCATACCGTTCTCATACAGCGAATTGCTAACTTCCTCATTAACCGTAAGCAAGCTACGTAGATTGGGGAGAGAAACTCGCCCAAATTACTAGTGAAATCGAGGTCTTCAGAGGGCAGCCTCCTGGTACCACTGTTATTTCTAATATATATTAACATTAACGACCTCCCACTCAGCTTATCATCTCACATAAGACCCCTCGCGGGTGACTGTGTTATTTATCGTCGCATCACGAAACCGGGTGATCGTATTACAACAGGATCTGACCTTATATTTCACACATAATAGATATAATAACAAGAAAAGCTAAATATGTATTATTTGCAAGCCGACCCTCTCCATAACAAAATAAATACACACTCAAGCACCAGACATACGGTAAGTTAGTACTTAGAAGTACCCAGGAGTCAGATTTGCGGAGGACCTCACTTGAACTGAAGACATCACTAACACCGTGTCCAGTGCATGTAAACCGCTAGGATACATTAAACGCAATCATTTTCGCTCTTCAAAGGCTATAGAGGTGACCGCATATAAGAAATTAGTTAGTCGAAACCAGAATACACTAACATCATCTGGTGTTCACATCTAGCGTATCTTGTCCTCAAGCTAGAATCGGTAGAAAATAAAGCATCACGTTACATTACTCATGACTACTCGTATACCTCGAGTGCCACAGCTATAAAAACTCCTAGACTTTAACTCTTCATTATTTGAGTTTCGCAGCCCCCCCCTATACATCTTGAGAACCCATCTCACATTTCAAAGCGCCTTGATCATCCCGTTCAAGTTCAGCCTCCTTCTCCAGAACTAACAAATTTCAAAGGCCTCTAACCTCTCTTGCCAGTGCCGACGAAAAACTCATTGCCCACGCACGATGCCCACAAAGCTGAAGAAAAAAAAAAAATCCGTGAAATATGGTCTTTTTTTGTGAAGTGTGTACAGTGTTAGTTTTTCGAGTTTTAATCTTGTTTGTCTTGTTGTGCAGTTTTTTGTAGATAGTTGCACCCTCATGTAAAGGGCTCTCTTGGGCCCCCTTTGAAGTAATAAAACTCGACGTAACTCATTGCATTCTAGGCTAGCTGAATAGAGGCTAGAAAAGTTTTGTTAGTGTAAATATTTTTCCATCTTCTATAGCCCCACTGGCGGCTAACATTGCATGTTGTCGTTTTTTTGTTTTTTTTTTCCTTAGAGATATATAATATATAATAAATTTACCTTTTTATTACCCGCGTACAAAGCTGTAAAAGCTAGAAGTCCGTTTGAAATACACTAATACTTGACTTTTCTCGCAGGCAGCAAATTATAAACAAAACAGGAAATTCTCAAGCCGGTAAGCAAACTTTCAGGCCGTTTTTGCGAGCGCTTGTACTGAAAATCAGCTTTATTGTTGAAACAAAAACGTACACACTTACTGCCACACGAATGTACGCGAAACACTAGTCGGTTATTGATGTGGAAATGAAAGCCGTAGCCTTTAGGTTATTGATTTTTCATTGGATAGTAAATACAGGGTGTTTGCTTTAAATTCGCCCAGGAGTTAAAAAAAAGGAGATGAGTGTTAGATGAGGACCGTCGTCACAATATGTTTTTCAGGGCCGCCGGACATTAGGTAAGCGAATAATAATCAAGATAGGTTGACTAATTATCCAGAATTTTTAATTAACTTTTAAATGGTTGCTTTTAGGGTCATGTTGCAATTGCAGTATTGAAGGTAATTACTTTTAGACGTAAGATCTATTTAAATATTTTTTTTCAATATTTAATCGTTTGTAATATGTAAATTTCGACATTTTCAAATTTTTAGCCCAATTTAAAAATTACGCGCGCAAAAAAAAACGGTGCAAGCTCTAATCACAGCGACTCTTTAAGCTTGGAAGAGTGACGTACTCTTTTCAATAATGACGTGACTATCTCGGCAGCCTGTCCTAGCTGGGTCATGTGATCACGAATCAAGTGACCATGTGACTGGAACAACTGCATATCTCTTCTTAGCGTTATTTTGGTTTTGCGGATTTCTTTTTTCGCGCAATTTTAAATCGAACTAAGAAACATTAAAATTAAAGAAATAATGTGTAAAAACACTTTAGATATTGTAAAATTCTTTAAATTCGTCTGACCTCAAAACGTTATTGCCTTCAATACATCAATTGCAACATAAGCCCTAAAACCAATATTTGTGAGTTCTATTTAACACATTATAGTTAATTATTAAACTTACCCGGACGATTATTTCTTCATCCAATGTCTGCCAGCCTGATCTGTACCTGGTAAATGCAGCACTCCTTTTGTAGCTCTCATCTCTTTTCTTTAAGGAGTATGTTGGAATTAAAAATCAAACAGCCTCTACAGTATCAAACATGCGACGTAAAGCGCTTCCCCTCTTGATATATTATTAGAAAAAGTTTCGTTGTTATTAAAATTGGCTTTGGTTTAATCGCATATGGATTGGGTAACTTCTCCCGTTGCTCCATCGAATCACAAACGACAGCCTGCTAGTGTGGTTGTTTGAGACACAATATAGGTGGTCGCTAAAAAGTCAATTCATACATAGAAGTAGGTAATTGTCGTTCATGACCAAAATGTTGATGGTGGTCTTAAAATCGCAAAATAAAGCCAGGTTTCCAGACTCTCTTGGTACTTGAAGTGTTGTTGCACAGTTACTATGCTTCACCAAGTTAATGACGACAGCCTTTACTAATGTCGACATGTGGAGGCTTCTTGAAACCAAGTGGAACAAGCCTTCCTTTCTTCCCTATAAAATTGTCCTGCATGCAGACTGGAAGCGGATTGTTTCTTTTTAAATCGCAAAGTGGCTGAGATCGCGCTGTTGGGGCCCGCTTTTTGTCTACCGTTCCTGCCTCCTGCCAAACGCTGACTCCTGCCGAACGTTTTTGCGAACAGCGAAACGGAAGCCAATCGCAACACGACGCCAACTTTCGAATCAAGTTGGCAACGGTCGCTGGTTAGACACCCTAGGCGTTGTAGTCCTATTGTTTGAGCAGACAAATCAGCAAAGAAACCTGATGTTTACCTGCGTCATTGGAATCCACCACAAAAACAATTGGCTCGTAATTTTAATCATAATTCAACACGTGAAAATTTGGTGCGGGAAAATAACAATACTTTCCAATTGAAGAAAACAAAACCAGTAGGAGAAAGTCTCAATGTTCTTCTACTCAGGACCACATTGACACGTTTCCCTACTTGTGTCTATTTGTTCGCCTTGAAAGTTTCTAAACTTTCCCGCACCACAGTTTCAGGTGTCACATTATGATTCATTATCACCAGCTCGCTTGCCCCCTCACTGTTATATTATAATGTTAACTGGCTTAACCGTGATGGTTTTGTTTGGATAAGCTTGCTTGTTTGCTAATCGGGGTGCGAATGCCTGTAACTGCGGTGCCTTGTTTAGCCTTAACCATAAAAATCGGAACCCTCCTACGATCGCCCAAAGTGACACATTTTGAACGCAATTCGACAGTCACGGAAACTGCTGAAAGCCATCTGCATTCTACACCGTACATACCCACCACGAAAAATTGTTTAGATGTCGTGAGCGTAATTACGTCGCCACCACGCTATCGAGAAGCTTGCGGGACACCGAACTAAATCGTCGCGTTTCTACAACCAAAAGGAATGAAGGTCACGCACTCAAGAAACAAGATATACATACCAAGTGATGTGTAGATCATCGATACAGCGTTTATTTGAGTTCAATGTCAAACAAACAGGACACCTGAAATGGCTTGTGACGAGAGCCCGCCGCCCCACACTACGTCGAGAATATAAAAGCGAACGACCAGGGGGAAGAGCCGCTCCTCTTATCCCGAAAACAAGGTCAGCTGTTCATTCGGGAAGAATCCAGTTGGAAAAAAAAGAAGGTTCGAGGGAATTTCCTTTGGAGTCAGCAAGGCACGCCCACCTGGTCTTTGTTTTTTAGCGAACTGGAATCGTCGGCGCGGTTTCGCGGGTCCATGCATTTTATTTTCTTTTGCCTGAACTCGCGATGCGTGCGAAAAGCACGAAGAAACAGCTTCAGTACCAGAATAGGTTAAATTCGTCTTTGGATTGCATACAAAGCCATATTTTCGATCGTAAAAGAAGGTTCCCGAAATCAAGACCCGAACGATCACGCGTGATCGCAGAGAAACCGCCCACTGCGATACAGTGTGTCTGAACGGGGCCGCTCGGGAACCGTAACGACAACCGCTTCGCCAACGCAGCTCAACCGACAGTGTGAATGCGCATTACTGGGCTTCCCCTTCTTGCTGACGCCAGCTTTTCTCTCATCAGGAGGTATTTTTTATTGTTCTAGTGTCATTCGCCGATACCAGTCGTGCCTGGTAGTTAGGGAAGAATTCAACATCGAACAGACGGTGAACCAGAAATCCACGCTTATACTTTTCTAGAGAACCTGCGACAATAGAAGGCGTGCAGACGCCCGACCGTTTTAATAGAGCGGAGCTGTTAAGGGCTAGTTTTCCGAGTTTCGTGTCCGTCACCAAGTGAATGTCGACACAAAACTCTGGACAGCTACCGCTTCTATGAGCGACGGTGCCAACGAGACTGTCGGCTTGCCGGTGTCTGGTTGCACCCATCGCTCATAGATGGCGGCAACTTTCCAGCCTTTCCACTCTGGTTTTCGCCAGAGTGGAAAGGCTGAATTTCTCTAGGTGTCGTCCTTGAAGTCGTCCTTGTGGTCGTCCTTGACATCGTCTCTGAGGTCGTCCGAGAGGTCGTTCTAGAAGTAATCGTCGAGGTCGTCCTAGGCGCCGTCCTCGAGGTTGTCCAAGAAGTTATCCTTGAGGTCCTCCTACACGTCGACCGGGAGGTCGTACTAGGTGTCATCCTTGAGGTCGTGCTAGACGTCCCTGAGGTCGTCCCAGGCGTCGTCATCTAGGCGTTGTCCTCGAGGTCGTCCTAGAAGTCGTCCTAGACGTCGTCCTCTAGGCGTCGTCCTTGAGGTCGTCCCACCATAGTACAGCTTCGCTGGTTTTCCTTCTTCACCAAAGTGGAAAGGCTAAAATATTTTTTTTAGAGCGCAGCTTTTAGGGGCCCGCTTCCGGCTTGACGGCGTCGGCGTCGCCGTCGCCGTAGCCGTCGGCGTAACCCCAGGCACGTGATCCCCTTGAGGCCACATGACCCCCCTGAGGTCACGCGACCCCCGAGGTCACGTGACCCCCTGACGTCACACGAAAGGTGACCCTGAGGTCAAGTGACCTCAAAGGGTCACCTATCCCTCAGTACGCTTCCATCGTTTTTCTCAGGAGCTGCGCTCTAATCCGGCGTTAAAGGGAATTGTAAACGGCTTTCATTTTTTATCTCCAATGTCTTCTTTTTAGAAATGCGTAAAAGTCTTCGCGGGAACACTCGGTATATATGTATGTAAATATTTACTTAGCTGAAGGGTAATGCCACTTCAAATCTACCTTTTCACTTCACCATTTTATCTAAATTAAAAAAAAAGAAGCAATATCACACGAATTATTTGTCTGCTGACATCATAGAAAGATTTAGCGGGTTATACTTTCAGGGTACATTGAGATCTCCTGCATAGTTTACTAACTTGATTAATATAAAGTGGGGGATCGGTGGCCAAGTCGGCTAGCGCTCTCCAGCTCGGAGCACGTGGAGCGAAAGCTCGAACTGCAGAACCCAGGGATGCTCGGTTCAATCCCTACCTCTGCCCGCTTGGATCTGGATGAGCATCGTATCGGCGTGCAGTGGTGTAGCAATACTGCGTGATTCACGTTATAGTCCCCGGGACTGGTTTTACTGCAGTAGCTAAATTTCACATCTGCAGCTGAGACACCAGACTCCCATCGATGTTGACTAACTTCCGGCTGTATAAGCATACACAAAATAATATTATTATTAATATAGAAAGCAAAAACCTGCATAATACAAAGCTTTCTATTTTATTTTAAAGTATCAAACCTCTTGAAACAATGTTTTCACAGTTCAGTGGATGGCATTTGATAAAGTTGTGCCTGATATATTCGTTTTGTAAATTTTGATATCGGCGTCAACCAGACTGCTGAGCACTCTTACCTGTCTGAAGATGATTCACACAGTGGTGCTTCGTTCCATACATGTTATACCAATTTAGTTTTTGCTGTAACTATACTTTGCATTGCATGAAAGCTCCATGTTTGTAAATACGTCGGAAAAATAACTAAATTAAATCAAATTATTATTAAATTAAATTAAATATTTAAATGAAATAAAAAATAACTGAACTAAAGAAATAACTAAAATAATCACAAATAACTGGAACGTTAGAAATAACTATTCAGGGTGTGTGATTTTATTCGAACAGTTTTTTTTTTTTTTTTAATAATAGGGGGTGAAAGTCAGACGAGTTCTGTATTTGCCATGTATTCATCGTCCTCTGCGGACATGAGTTGAGGGGATAATGGTCACGGTTAGTTGACTAATTCTCTGAAACATCCTAATTTCCTTTTTATTTATTGGTTTTAGGGATCATGTTGGAATTGCACTATTGACGGCAAATACCATTACAACCCAGAACATTTTAATAAACTTGCGAAATTGTAATAGTTCTTGAGGTTTTAATTCACGAAGGGACACTTGCATCCCCTAATTTTTTTTTTCTTTAATTTTTTGGCGGGCCATTTATTATGGCCCTCGGAAGACTACTCAATTAATATTTTGCTAGAGAGTCGGGTATATTTTTAATAAAGCCAAAAAACGCCACTGCCCGAAACGGAAACCGAAACCGCGCACACAGGAGAGAGTGCCGGAAGTCACGTGGCTACATACGACCGTGCTCTTTTTCTTTTGGCTCTCCGTTTTCTTTTTCCTTTGCAGGGCGTAGCAGACGACATACATTGCGGGAACTGTTTGCCATGCGATTTCTTTGCAGTTATAATTGTTCCGCTCGCTGTTCTGCGCTTCATGATGAGTTGTTTCGTACATTAAAGAGTTGGACATGACTATTGAGTGCCCGTGGTGAATTCCCGTGATCGGCTACGAAAAGAATACCCCCAAGATGTTGCGTGAAGAGCTGGCTCACATCTCCTGTGTCCGAAAAAAAGTGGCGTTGTGTGCCAGAGTGTGCACATGTTTCCGAAACATCAACGGGATCGGTACCAATGGCTGGCTGCAATTTCTGCAGAATAGTTTTTGTCACCTCGGAAAACGGACGCTACCCGATTCATATGCTAATTGCATTTTGTGGAAAGTGACTATACATTGAGCTCGAGGGTGTCAAAAAGGGAATCCCATGCCATTTAGTTCAAGGACACATCGTCCACAACATTTTTTTTTTGTGATAATTGCAAAAAAAAAACAACGAAAAATTAAACACCGCAAAATTGTTAGTCAAAAAAAAAAAAAAAAAAGTACGCCTCTACTAGGGATGGAACCTGAGCCCGCTTCGTGTGAAACCGACATCTTTCCACTGAGCTCCAGAGTATTTTTTTTTCTTTATTGAACTTACTGGGGACCTCTTCATGGTAATGCTTCCGGCTCTCTGCGCAAATTGTTTTTTTAATCAACGTAATTACAGCTTTTTAGAAGCCGCCAAAAATGGGTTTCGTATTTTTTCTATTTTTAATATTGAGTGTGTTCCTTCAATGAACTACGACTTTGATCAAATTTGGTGATTGTGTCTAAACGTTAGAAAGCGGCCCGTGACCGCGGAAAAGAGAGTGAGCGGGACTCAATCCAGCCAGCTCTTAATTGGCGGTTTTCGGGTGGAAATAGACCGAATTTCGAACCGCAAATTTTGTTGGGGCTAGTTGCGCTCCCATGTGTCACGTAGAACAAAAGACCTCGGCGAGCATAAATAGCCTGTTAGTGTCCCTTTAAAAATTGCGCGCAAGAAAGCGCAATGAACACTGCCCACAATAACGCTTGGAAGTGTGGCGTAGTCATTTTGGTGTCGTCACTTGTCTCGTGGGCTCACCCACCAAAGACATGCTGCCGAGATTGCGACTACATTTTTAAATGCAGATGTCACTGTTCCAAGCGTGATTGTGGAAAGTCCACTCGATGCCTTTTTAGCACAATTTTTAAATGGGGCGAAGAAACCCGAAAATTGATTGATTAATATATGAAAAAAACGTTCCTGTTTGCGAATTCTTTAAATTTGTCTTATAGTTATTGCTCTTATAGTTATTGCCATCAGTACTGAAATTCTAACATGATACCAAGAATCAATAATTAAAAAAGTTAATGAAGAAATTTGAGGGAATTAGCCCTCTCACAGTGACTTTCTTCTCTCATTTGAAGTCTGCCGAGCATCATAGATACATGGTAATGACGAAACTCGTCCAACCTAACCCCGCCCTCTATAAAAAAAGCAGTGCTATTTAAAGGTATACTGAACCGGAATTTGAGTTTCGCAAAATAAGGCCGCAGTAGCGTTGAAGGGGACGCTACGAACTCCCAAATATCACTCATACATCGATATCTCAAACGGATGGCCGTGTATTTGGAAACGAAGGGCGAGATCAAGCGAAGATTTTGACGTCACGATCCTCCTTAAAAATTTGAGAATGAGGGATGCGGCCTCGTTTCTCTCCTCCTCGCTTCGGTTCACCAGCTCGAAAGAACGACGTGAAGAGGAGAGGGAATAAAAATCTTGACCTGTCGTGTGTCGTCGGCCTCGTCAGCCGTGTTAAATCGCGCACTTGATGTGCCAAGGCTTACGTGTACAGCCTTCAACGGTATAAACGGCCCATTTGACCTGTCAGCTTTAGGCAGCTGTGCAAGATTCGGCTAAGCCTGGTTCCCATTACTTGGGATAAGAAAGAGGAGAACCTTTAGTCAGCTGTCTACCTGAAATTAGTGCCTATGACCAAGGTGTGTTTAGCGCCACCAGATAAATTGCCTGGGAGGTTGGATCCGACATTTTATGGGAAACTGAACTTTGGGCGCCTGAAATGTGGTTATAGTACAAATTTACGCACTTCTAGCCAGGCATTTTTAAACTTTGTCTACGCCCACGGATTTCATTACCATTTGTTTATTTTTGGTACACCATGTTCACACATTTTGCTGCTTTTTGGTTAACACAAATAAACAAATTATCAAAACGTACATCTTTGCCTTTTTGGTTAATTTTAAAACTTGTTTAAGACATGCCGTGTTTCTTAAATATTATTCTGTATTCTCCCCAGCGAGTGCATATCTGATGTATAAACAAAATAGTTACAGGTATCTCTGGAAGAATCGGAGGAATTTGTCTGACGGGAGAAAAAGTAGCTGCAGCGACGGATGACGCCCAATTCAGCGGCGTCAGGAGCGCAGCTATCCAGCTGTCGCTTCTGTAAGTCCATATATTACGTACACTAACTATAGGTTTCAAACTAGCTAGCATATATATTGTATAAACTTAATGAAAGAAGTCTACAGGTCAGCTTCGATATTCATAACATGACAAGAGAGACTATAAAAAAATGGTAACACATTGATTCTATGCATAAATTCAGAATTACAAAAATGTGTTTTTATGTCAGTAGAATGCCCAGTTAAATCCAGCAGAGAATCGAGAATCTTCCCGCATTGATTAATCTCCCTCCTACATTTAGCGGGCGATTCTCGGTTATGCGTAACGCACAAATCAGCATTATAACATAATTTACCTTATTATGTCAGGCTTTCTTTCTGTTTCATCAGAGTTCATATTTTTTTCTGTTCAAAATGCTGACTTTTATATTATCAAGGCGTTGTTTCACTGCCATTAAACCTAAAAGTAAAAACTTCGCACGGCCTAGACCTCGCACCGAATGCCCTTCTTCGTCCAAACTCTGAAGTTTGGGCGCAGTTTTAAATTGTAATATTCCGTGTTTCTTTTTAAAAATTGGCGTTCTGCCGAACGTGTCGCACTTACTTTTAAAAAGGCGGTCCGTTTATCAACGAGCAATCACCGACCGATCTCCTAAAATTGCACATATTTCAAGCTGCTAGAGCATATTTTGTGTAATGTTATAAGCGAATATTTATGACTGAACAACACACCGACCGAGTTTCAATACGGATTGAGAAAATGGTTTTCAACTACAACCCAACTGGTATGTACCAGTCATGAATTTGCAAGACTGCTCTTCAAAGCAGTCGAAATCGATGTTAGTTTTTTTTTTTTTTATTTTAGCAAAGCGTTTGACCGAGTTCTCCACAGGAAACTAATTTTGAAACTACATAGTGTAGGTCTTCCTCGAGAAATCGTAAACTGTGTTCGTTCCTGGTTACTACATCGCAAAGAGTTCGTAGAGGAGGAGGGCTTTCGTTCGGACATGTTGGGTGTCACATCACCGTGCCGGAAACATCCTGGTGACACCACTATATTAAATGTATATAAATGATATCATTGACGTTGTAGAGTCACCTGTGAGCATCATATTATGTGCGGACGATTGTGTTTTATTTAGAAATATTACTTCGCCTTCTGATCATGATTTACTCAATTCTACTCAAAGTGCTATTCAAGTGTGTCGAATGGGTCATAAAAAATGAACCGCAACAAAACCGTTTCTCTTCGTATCACTGACAAAATTAAACGTTGCCTGTCTTTCTATCACATTAAAGATGCTCTTACTTTTAACATCAATTACTTGAAATACATTCGAGTCACCACCAAGAAAACCTGGAGTTTGTCAAATCCTACCTATAATGTTTCTTCGGCTGCTTTCCGCAAACTTCGTCTGCGTCGATATTAAAATCGAAAACGACCCTCCGAATGCTAAATTGCTCGCCTACACCTCGATTATTTGATCTAAATCAGAACACTTTTTTGATAGTCTGGGATTGAATTACCAAAATACACGCAGGAAAATTGGAGAATGTTCAAAAATGGCAACTTTTGTTTTATTTAGGGAAAATATAAACACACAGATTCTCCATTTTTGTTAATGCATACAAATAAAATGCCGACTCTATACCACCGACGTAAGTATCCAGGTTTAATTTTTGTCATCAGCTCGTCAATAGTCACGTATCATTGAATCACTACTTTTACTTTCTGTGGCTTTCAACGAGGTCAACCAGATAAAGCCCCGAATGCTCTTTAGCTTCCTCTTTTACCTGAACTAACATATTTAGGTTTTCATACTTTCCTTGAACAATAATAGAATGGAATTTATTAACCCGAGAAATGCTTACTTAGAGCAGATATTCAATCAACGTTAGCAAGCGCTTTGTCATTCTGATGAGATCAGTGAACCTTTTGTTTGAAGTTTTTGTACCGTTTCCTTGCTGTGCTTTTTGTGCCCTTGAAGTGTCATATAACTTGGGTAATGTGATTATAATGTAATCCGAGTTGATGGTGACCTTATTTGTTTTGTTTGTGAATGAGTGTATTAATTATTCACAGTGTCGAATCGTGACGTCTGTCTCGAGATCATTCATTTTTCGTCATGCTTGATGTACAGGCGTTGCTTCTTTTTTTTTCCAATCCTGCCGGGACTCGCGTGGTCCGCAGTATGTAATCAATAACTATAAAAAAGGGGAATGACCTGACATCTTCTCGTGCATTTAGGTTGCATTAGAATGGCGGAGCTTAATGGCAGACATTGGTAGTGTGGATGGGGCCTAGATTTCTAACGACGCTTTTATACACACTAAGAAGCTCTAAATTACAACCTGCAAGGACGAAACTCTGTCATTTCTCAAATTATTTCACGATAAATCACCTGGGTCGAGCATAAAGGAACACTGGGGCTGACGCGCGCTCGTACAACGTAAAAAAACGACGAGGTTAAAACAAAGTTTAACGTGTCGTCTGCTTTCTTTTTCTGCCCTTTTGTCACGTTCCCTAAATCTTCCTCACTATACAACCAATGTCAGTGCCTTTACTATGCCTTGCGTCTTCGATAAACATCAAAATGATTTAAATCCCGTTGGTCTTACTACGATAATTAAAAATAAGTCTTTATTAAGTGAAAATTTAATTATAAAATATGTTTACTTACCCTTTGTCTATCCTTTCTAACATACGATGCTTTCCGCATGCATTTGTTTGGTATTCAAATCAAATAACCACACAAAATATATCTCAAGCTCAACACAAGCAAAACGTGGTCGTCTTCAGAGCAAATCGAACCGTTGTACTTCGTTTCTTTCCTCAGCCTTTTCGTCAGTTAAAGATATATTCTTATGTGTATACCTCACAATATAATTAAATTTGCATAAAATGTATCTTCTACTCCATTCAATCATCGATCAATTTGAAGAAGTCATTTCTTATGTTTAAATGACTTTTAGTGAAAGAAATTACTATGCGATTTAGACTGTATAGGTCTGCATAGGAGAGAAAAAATTCTACGTTTTGTTTTTATAAAAGAAACGTTTTTTCTACCCTGCGTGCTCCGTTTTTGTTTTTACCCACAATTCCCGATAAAATAGCTGAAGAGTTAATCACTAAGAGAGAGGACCTAGCTCTTGGCGCTGTCCCGAGTCCTCTTCCTTCCCATTTCCGGCGAAGAAAAAAACGTATGTGACACCAATTGTCTGAGTCTCACAGTTCAGATCAATAGCGTAGCCAGGAATTGTTTTCGAGGGAGTGGGGGAGTTGGGGGGGGGGGGGGGGCGTCAATATGCATATGTATATTGTAGGGTCGGCTGGATAATTCGAGGGGATGACTGGGCTGGATAATTCGTCAAAGTCAGTGGCTGGGCCAGTGACTATGTCGAACGGCGTAGTGTTTCTAGGCCCTTCCATGGGGAAATATACGCAAGCCCTATGAAAAGGCTTTATGCTTCAGGAGAACTTTTTGTATTCAAGCAAACGCAAAAAGCATGCAGGCGAGCTGGTGGAATTGAACAGTTTGAACACCAGAGGCAGGAACACAAAAAAAGGTGCACAACAGAGGCACACAGGTCTGGGTTCATGTGGTCGACTCTTTTGTTCCTTAGTTTTAGGTGTTAAATGTGTTGTAACATTCATGTTTTTGTTTCGTATAGTAGTACATTAAATATGTTTTAAACATGTGTGAAGTACGATGAACTGAGACATTTCTGGTATCCTTTTGAAGTGTGCTAAATTTATAAGGTGTTTTCACCGTTCATTTCCTCCGCGTTACTGCTGCAACGTTTGTTGGTTAGGTGCCTTCTTTCTTAAGGAATATACATTTAACTAATCAAGAATTTCTAAAACGTAAGTTTAAAATTGTATAGTTAAAAGCCTGACAAGTGAAAACTTACTTTGTAATACCTCTGCTCAGGGGGCGTTCTTAAAGCCATCCAATCGAAGACTTTCACATAATTGGCAAATCAGGTCGCGATTTCACTCGCTGTGCGTGCAAGATGAGAGGTGCTCTACTTAGTTTCAGCTTAAGTCCAGATGCAGCCGACGCTACGTGCTAATGGTGGCAATCAAGCAGCGTCAAAACTGCAAGTCACTTGGCCTTCTTTGTTTATGATTGGTTCAGCCAAGGTAGAACATGTACAGAGATATGACGAACACATGATGGTGTCCTTTTCACACTGTCTGATTGGCTCCGTCAGTTCATAGCGTCGGCTGCGTCAGACCTAAAGGCGAAACGAAGTACAGTTAATCGATTCTACGAAGGCCTTCCGTCTGAATGCCCTTGACGAGCCCACTAAACAAGGGCATTTACATGGTTTGTAATTCGGATGCTTGAAACGTTTTATAAGTTTTATTTTTTTTTAACTGTGGCACTCTGGGAGTTTTGTTAGGACCAATTATAATTTTACATGATTGTAAACCTGAGACTGGGGTAGAAAGAGAACACAACAGAAGGTAGTAAAAGAGGAGACGTTGCCGCCTCGTTTACTACCTCCTGTTGTGTTCTCTTCCTGCCCCAGTCTCAGGTTTACAATCATGTTCAACTTACACCAGCTCGCCTGCACTCTGACTATTTTTTCAATTTTGCTTGTCTCTACTTTTTAGCATGGGTGCTGTGTATGACGGACAGGAACCTCCTGGAAGAGAGTTCGTACCAGGTAGCGACGGAGCTGGACACTGCGACCCTAAAAACGGATTTCTGATGGGACATTGGGGCAAAGATGAGAAGAATAGCTCAACGTTATCTACATGCACTTCGTACCAGGCGATACTTGGTCTAAGGTACGTCTGATTTCGATTAAATTGATTCAAAGGTAACATCAATAATGTCCAGAACAATGTTAATTAATACAAACGGTACTTAACCAGGGATTGGGTGTACTAATATTAAAAGAAAGGCCCGAGACATAAAAAAAGCTTATCATTGAGGGACAGCGTTAAAGGTGGTAAAATGAAGTGTTTTCTGATATTGTACATTTGTGGTAATAAAATAACTCAATTTGCGGGCTCCAAACATTCTAAAGAAACCTGAGAATAGATTGATACACGTCCGATTTCCGTAATAAAATGAGATCCAAGATCACAACGTGCCAGATTTTCTCTAATTCGGCGCAGAAGCCCGAAGGCCGCCGTGGGATGTGACAGCCCCTCGAGGGCGAGCGCTTCCCGCCCGGTGAGGGCCCCAATCAACGGCTGACTGATTTTTGAATGTGTGCGATTCACGCTCAGGAAGTGGTCGCTCGCGATAGGCTCTCGCATGGCGGATGGCGCCCGCGAGATTTTTTTTATTTTTTATTTTTATTTATTTGTAATATAATTAGTTCAAGTTAAGGACTTTAATAGGAGTAGTAATTCAAAAAAACACTTTGATAAGCAAGACAAATAAAAGCAGCAATTAAAGCGCACGAAAAAAACGCCGGTGCACAAAATACAAAGAGTATAAACTATAAGCGGCATCCAATGTACGAACGAGTATAAATATGTATATTGACATGCACAATAGTTACGCTTTGTCGAAATAAGATGGAGACAACTAGGAATCACGGCGTGGAACAACGTTATCCGGTAGAACATTACATTCTAGCAACGGGGGAGGGGGGGGATTCGAAGCAATCTTTATTAAGCGAAAATTTATGCAAGTAACGCGACTGCGTGTTACGAGTGATGCGCGACTTATGAAATGACACGTAAGTTGATCGGTCAATGAGCAGCGCATCACAAACGAGATTAAAAACAAGCTTCAAGTATTTTTTTCTCTGTCTAGACTCAAAAAAAAAATGGCGTGTCCTGATCTTGGATTCCATTTGGATTAAATAAATCGGACGCGTATCAACCTAATATTGTTCTTTTAGAATGCTTGCTGTACGGAGATTGAGTTATGACTAAAAATAGACGATCTGAGACACCACTTCAGTGCCCTTTGAACGACAGTAGCGGATTTCAGGCTACGGTTATAAAGTAATACTTACTCAAAATATTACCAAAACTTACCGACAGCTCACGATTTACCGACATCGGTATCACATCAAAGCTAAGGCTGGAAATTTTAGATTAGCTTTCCTTTCTGCATCTCATATGAGGCGCGCCTGGGTTTTTCAAGGAGTAAACGGACTTCGCAGGATAGGTTGGGGCATACTCTTACATTATGCAGGGCGCGACCAGTGAGTAGACTGTGCTGGTAGGCGAGCTTATGTAAATTGTCGACATGTAGTGTAGCGTTTCTTTTTTTTACAAACGGGTCTTGTCTGGGTCGAGCATGCTAGATATAAGTTGCTCCATTTTTCTAACGTATGACCTATATCTAGGCTACAGGTCTGTGTTTTATTTGTACACTCTTGTTTGAAACGTGGGAGTGAGTTGGGCACACCCGAGGTCTAAGTAAAACGTGGAAAGAGTGGTCTTATACCACTCGCACTTATCCGGATGGGTTTCAACTAGATTAAATAAGGGCAACCGCAAATCTTTCGTCCAACTTGAACACTCCGGCTTTTTCTTCATGGGCCCCGATTTACCTGAAATTCTGATAAACGGACAAACAAACGTCGCTCAAATAGTAACCCAAATATCAGTCAAAATATTTTTTCACTAAGTTATTAAATAATTTAAAATCATGGTCCTCACCGTGTTTCTGTAACTGAAATACTTTTTGTGGCAACAATAAATAAGTAACGCCAACGGCAGAAAGGGTTTCACGTTGGAATCTAAATTTTTTTTTAAACTTATTACGGGCAGTTTTATGGTTCACAATGAATAATTTGGAAGCTCACTCAAGCACCTGTGTAGTAACAGAAATGAATGCTCGGCATAGTCACATTTTGAGACTGCCTGCTCGACCTGCAAGCCTTCCTGCCACTGACGTCACGGCACTGAAAAGTGCGGGTATATTTGAATCATGGTTTTGATATCATTTTCTTTGGTCGATTTTACAAGCTCTATATTGAATCTCGGGATTTCAAATAGCATGCCAGAAATGGCCAAAGCAGGTGATTCACAATATATATCTATTGCGGGTAGTTTAAAAAAGCACAGGCGTCCCACTTAGGTTGAACTGGTGAAAGCAGCATAAAGTTTGATGAGTTTGAAAATGGGCTACACTTTACTGATAGAACAAATGAAATGTGATATAAAAATGACTTTGCACATTGTTTACTTAATGACCATATTATCTCACGCCAGTTTTGTATTGGGAAGATGATGCTCTTGTGAACCTTTACTACGTATGAAGCCTAATATATCGCCAGTGGCTGCAAGAAATTAAAAAAAAACTGCAACAGATAGTCTAGTATGACCGTCCTAGTCTTCAGAAGGAGAGTCAAATAACACAAGCACGGCAATACTCATGCAAACGTAGTAATGTGGGAATGTTTGCTCTCTAGAAAGTAAGTTATTTTGAATATGCTGAATAAATATCTCAAGTTGATTTGACTTCTTAGATTTTCCACATAGCATGATAGTGCTGAACTCATATTACTACATTACATGAAAAATATATTTCATTACAGGCAACGTGGACTCGAATGTTACGGAACTACAGATGACTAAGGTCGGTACGAAGATTCTAAGGATGAATATTATCTTAACAAGCAGAGCTTAACACTGTCTTCGAAAACAAAACAACAGAAACAGCAACAACCGAATAAACCTGAAATTGCAGGACCAAAAGCAAAGTGCGAACCTAACTGCTATTAGAATGTTTTATACCTACTTGAGAATTTTTGAGAAAAGAAACATACTGCAATGCGAGGGCATCTATTCACGCGTTATACTTATTTGTATGCCGCAATAAACTTTGAGTTCAATTTTATGATGACTGCTCTTGGATCAAATATTTTGAATGAAAAATTCGCAGTAAGGTCGAGCGTTGATTTTTCTAATATAATAGGCTCCCAAAATATTTAGGCTCCCCCCCCCCCAAAAAAAAAAAGTAGCAATCTCATTTTCGCAAAATGCAAATACAAAACATGCAAACACATGAAATAAACAAGTATCACATCAAATAACGTATTAAATAGAAATCATATTAAGGCACTAAATTCCAGTTCAAGGTAAAACTGGGCGCGTAAAGGAAACTGCGCTGAACAAACCCTTGCAAAATATCTGAATTTGATGTGTCAGTGATCCTTCAGTTAGACTTAGATTGTCAAAATAAAATTTGTTGTGACGTCACGTGAATTTAGGTTGTACACGTAACTTTATATTCCCCAATAGATCAGGTACATCAATATGTGCTTGAATGAGCTTCGGCAGTAACACTATTTCTTGTCAATGCTTACGGTCACTTGAAGTGCCCCAGATTAATAACGTTGACAAGAAACTTATATTCGAAATAAAGTATCCTGTGCAAATGCCAATCATAAGCTATGCGAACCAAACGACTTTGTTATACCAGGAACAACAATGAACTCAATACTGTCCCCTGGGGAACTCCTGAAGTTAGAGAAACCGTATTTCATAAAATATTTTAAGCCAGCTAGAGCATATATGCTTCTAAATTCCAAATAACTATAAACACATTCACAAAGCTTAGGAGCGATGCCATATTGTTATAATATATGTACAGGGTGCGGCAATAAAGACTAACACATTTAGCACGCCTTGCCAATTTTAAATTTCAAACGCACATCCCTGAAAGTGCGCGTGCGAATGTAGTTTCAGAGGTTTTATGAATATTGTTTTAAGAGTTCAATTTAGATGCTGCAAAATATTAAAAATACAAAAAAAAGATATGGAGTCCGCGCTTTCCTATGCCTTATACCGGATGTTGTTTGTCTGCACATTTGTTTGTGAGCTTACTCCCAAGTAATCATTGTTGACCTATGTTAGGAGCATCATAGCTATCGCGATTATTTTACACATCGCCAACCTCTGCTTTTGGCTTTTAGGGTTCTGTCGCTCAGAAATCCACCAAGAAGCAAGATCGTAAACCAATGTCCGGACGACAAATCGGCTGTTATAGAATATAAAAAAATACACGGCCTCCGATTTCTTAACAAAATGTTTTATTTCCTCAGAATTGAGCTCTATAAAATAGATAAAGAACTTCTGACGAAACCACATACTGGTGCGCATTCGCAAGAATGTACGTTTGAAATTCGAATTTTTCAAACCGTGACAAATGTGTTAGTTCTTACTGCTGCACCCTGTACAAGGAACGAATTATTAACCCTCTTGAAAGCCGTTGAAATACCGAAATGGATCGAGCCAACTTGACCCCAATTTTGAATAACCGTAGCTCCCTGATATAATAAAAAAAATAGTTTCAAGTCAGCATCCTCGAAAAATCACGTTCTTGCTGCGTCACGTACTCTGATACATGAGAGAGAAGAAATAATTTTGCATAAATGTTTCAAATATTTTATAACCCCACGCTCACAGTCACAGAAGACGGTAGTTCTATACAATACAGGAATCACCATATTTACGCATGGACACGAAAATAGCTCCATTCCAGATAGCAGAAAATACACTGGCACGCAAGGACAGGTTAACAATATGACCTACTACGGGATCCAGCAACTGACAACAGCGTTTGATAACAAAGAAATGAATTGTATCTACGTTGCTGTCACTTGGTACCGTGGTGAGAGTGGCAGGTGAGGCATGCAGCGTGCGACCATTCTCGGGCACTATGAGAAGCAAACGATCACCACACCTCTCTTCCTTGCCTACCATACCAAATCTATGTAAAAAGCCCATTCGGCGAGTTTGCTCAGTTGGTGGTTTGGCTAATTGGATATCCGCTGCTACTCCCAGGAAAAGAAGCCGGCGAAGCGATGAGTGCCCTTAATGCCTCTCGTGCCATCTGCTTGTACGCACCGCTCCCACAATCGTCTCATAATCTTGATTGTTAGCAAAGTAGGTTGACACCTTTGTATTTTTTGATAAGCTCAAAATCGTCTGTTCTTTTTTCTCTTTCGGAGACCAGTTCTACTAATACTAATAAAAGCTAACACTAATACATTCAATTTATTAGTTAAACGCAATACCTCAAGATTTAATTTATCAAACCATGCAAACTTTTTGAGCTTGTTAAGGAAACAAATTGACAATGATGATGATAGAGACGTCAACGCCGGCCGCGATGATTTACTAAACACTAAAAATCTGCAGATTTTCGTCCTCCCACATGGTAACACAGAAAAGCAACAAACCAGATTTTAATACCTTAGAATTAGTGCCCTGGTGCTTGCGCTGACCCTGGAAAGGTTTGGAGCACACGTATATAAAGTTTGCAACATCGCCACAGGATGGCGCCACAGCCCCACTGGCTGTTGAAACCATATAGGAAACACCTTCTGCAAGCGCCGACAGATGGCGGCGGGGTGCATATTTTGAGAGGCTGGGCGATAAGACGGATAGCAACGGAGGCCGCACTGTATTGGCTGGTTATAGGGAGCGACGCCGTGACGTACCACCTAGCAACCAAAGATTGCCGGCGACGTCCCCCTTCACAAACTTAGGCACGGCGCAGTTAGGGGGCGGCGGGTGTACCACTACCCTATTGGAAAGACCAGTTTGAAAATCTGACTGGTCATACTGGTATTTAAACTGGTCAAACTGGTATTTGGACTGGTCAGACTGGTCCAACTGGAAATCAAAACTCGTGGAACTGGTAGTCAGACTGGTCTAACTGGTAACCATATTGATCTTACTGGTCACCAGATTGCCTCCGAACTGGTCACCAGATTGGCCTGACTGGTCACCATATTGACCTAACTGGTCACCACACTGGCTGAACTGGTAACCAGATTGACCAAACTGGTCACCAGATTGGCCAAACTGGTCCCCAGACTGGCCGAACTGGTCCAACTGGTAACCAGATTGACCAAACTGGTCACCAGGCTGGCCAAACTGGTCCAACTGGTAACCAGATTGACCAAACTGGTCACCAGACTGGCCTAACTGGTTACCAGATTGACCCCTCTTTTTCACTTTATTTGTAGGGGTGTGCGAATTGGATAGCGCAGAGTCATTCGTAACCTTCACTGTGCAAAATAAAGTCGCAACAAAAGGTTGTGTTAACAGTGTTGAAGCTATTTATTTGTCATATATGTTCTACCATCTCGCGATTGTAACAGGCCGACATGGTACTACAAATAATTAATTTATTTGCAACTGAATTCATGGCATATTAATGCCCACACGAAAGGTCAGCTTTATTTATTTAGCTAGAGAACACTTCTTCAATCCAAAAAAGTAAGAGCATACATACTTAGATATTCTTAAAGAGTTTTTTTTTTAATCTTTTCTTCCCAAAAATAGGTTAAACCAGTTTAAATTCTACAAAACTTGAGATAAAAACGTTAATAACTGCTGCACCATGATTTATGTGGGTGATGGGACAAGTTTACTCGAATATAACGCGCCCTCGATTGTAACGTGTGCACTCTTTTCTCGCGGTCCGAAAAATGAAAAAAACGCCATGACTTCGATTGTTACTCGCACCAGATTTTGTAGGTTAAATACAGAAATAAAACTTTTCTCACTTGGAACAACAAAGGTTTATTCCGAATGCTTCAATCTTGCGATGAAATCAACGGCGCTGTCTCTCGCCGGTAAGGTCGTCATCATGGCGAAGGTCCGGTGCAGCGGTCGTGGGGCAGTATGCATCACTCGTCATGGTTGTCGGGCGACTCCTTATCGCTGTCAACGGCCCAAAGCATTTCATCTTCGGTGCCGTCCATAGCGTTAGGAATTTCGCACTTCTTGAAGGCCTTGATAACCATGGCAGACGGGATCGTGCGCAATGCATCTTTCGCTCATCGCACGTGATGCGGCCCAATTTTCATCGCTCTCTGCGCACAATATCCATTTTCTTTTGAATCCAGTATCATTGGCCTTTTTCATTTGGATCAAGTTGGTTTTAATGTTTCTAATTTTAACTCCCAAGCGGGAGAACCGCATTAATGACCATTTTTTTCTACATGAGCGAATTGGGCTTTTACACTCCACATAACTCACAATAAATAAAAAATTGGCAGAACAAGATTTATTAATTCTAAAGGCAAATATGTGTTTCTAGAATGAACCTTGCCACAGCAGAGAATATGTCTGGCTTTTACAGAACATTTTCTTTATGCAGATGTCGCATAACAGACTAGTAGAACAAATAAAAGCCTTATTTTGACGATGTACAGCTAGCTTGCAACAATAGTTCGTGACAGGTCAAGAATTCTGTGATGCAATCGCCTCATAGAAGTTCATTACCCTCTGCCGGCCAATCGTTCCCACTTGGACTTTATAATTTTCCCGCTTTTTACCACGGCCTTTATCCACCCTCACCTGCACCGAGAAGCCGCTTCCAGGCTCCAGAGCAATTGCCCGAGGCCGAGGCAGGGAGCCTCTCATGTGATGTTAGAGAAGCGCGGGAAAATGTGGCAGTATGAGTCAGGCCCTTGGAATGCGCCGGTGCCCTGGGTGCCTTGCAAGGGAGAGGTGCTCACATGCCAGGACAGGGAGCGCGCGGGCCAATCAGCGCGGCCCTCGCGCCCGCTCGAAGCGCCAGTCGGCGTCAACGACAGCTCCGGCAACCAAAAAAAAAA